ACTTAATTCTGCCTTTAATATTGTAACTAAAAACACAGGGAGAATTTGAATAATAGGCTGGAAAGTTAAAATATAGTACATAAAAATAATCCTGTCCAATCAGTTAAGAGTCCATCTTAGTCCAGCATTTTTCTTACTCAAGTGACCAATCACATGTCATATGTTTATTTGTTTATATCTTTATTTTAAGCACTTTTAGAGAATAGTGCATTACATGTTTATTCTAAAAGAGGAATCTGTGTAATAAATGCTACAAAGATGCAGTTGAAACACAAACTTAATGGGAAAGGCAAAGCCATATATTTTAATGTCTAATAGAAACATTAAAGTAATATGTCTGCTATGTTCCAGTTAAATAGAACACATATTAGAAGTCAATTAAACAGAAGCCCTATAACACAGGTGTCAAACTTGATCGCGTCATGTGACATTGTGACTTTTTTTGCCTTAGCGGGGTGAGTATGGCCTGTCCATGATGCATCCGGCCTGTAGGCCGCCAGTTCGGCACCCCTGCCTTATAACTACTGTATTTAGAACATTAAGTGTGTGGCAGTGTGAGTTCCACTGATGGATATAGATCTTATAAATTGTTCTGAAGATTAGAACTTCTGCTTCCCTGTTCCATGAAAAAATTCAATGTAGATTCCTAGTAGATAGTCAAACTTAGAAGGCACCTATGAGCTGATATCTCTGCCCTTTAGAGAAAATATATAAAAGGCAGATTTATTAGGCAATAAAGGAGATTGTGATGTGTTTGTGTTGTATGGACAGGAAGTGCTACATATATCAAGGAGCAAAGATTGAAGCCACCTAAGGAGGCAACTTTATGGCAACACTAGTGGAGAGATGATCCCTGGAGAAAGAAAGGTGCTTAAGAATGAATGGGATGAGGCAGGGGTCCCCAGCCTTCAGGCTGCGGCCCACTACTGGGCCGTGGCCTATTTCCAACCAGGCTGTGATGGGTGGACTGGCGCATGTGCAGCTCAACTTGCACAAGTGGCGGGCTAGTGTGTGTGCACGTGCACACGCAGCTCAACTTGCGCAAGTTGATTTGTGCATGTATGCACATGTGCACTAGCCTGCTGGTCATGTAAGTTGCGCTATGTGCACTTTGGCCTGCTGCTCATGAATCCTGGTTCTCCCGCACCCCTGCCAGACTGCCAAGCCACAAATGTTAGGAACCACTGGGATAAGGTATCTAGCAGCTGTCTGCAGTTCCCTAAACTAAAAATATCTTCCCAGCATTGTGCTATAGTTGCACAGTCCTGAGAAAAATCTTTGTTATGTCCCAAAATCCACAAGATCCAAAGCATCTCTGACCTTATTCCTAATTTACCTGATATATTTCAGTTCAAAATAAGTAAATATGAACGTAACAAAATTTTAATTAAATTACATACATTGTACTTCCCCAAATGCCTTATTTTTGAATGTCACTCTAGTCTTTTTAATCTATTTATGCCTGCCATTCATTGCCTTATATATGCTAATGGATATAACTATTCTGGAAATGCTTTGGAGCTAACTAAGCCAAAGTACAACCTGATTCAAAGAGTTTCCTAGGTGTGTGAGGAATCTTCCCAGGAGGAAAAAAGTGATCACCAGGTAGCTAGAAACTGCTGAAAAATCTCAGCTCTGCCATTCCTTTCATTTTTTGCCATGTATCATCTTTCTTCCTCATCATTCTCAGCAACCAGGATTTGTTTTGAACTGAAAGGATCTTTGTGTGCTTTTCTATTGTATGTCAGTCCACCTCCACTAGTCCTTGATATAAAGTGCTATACCCCAACTCAAAACATGAGACTGGTTATTTAAGCTGTCTATTAAATGATAATTTAAGCTCTTTCTGGGTGTGTTTGTGTGTTTATATTTATATTATATTTTATATAATATATATTATATATTATATTTATATTTCTTAAGAAAGCAAAACTCTTGGAAACAATTTCTTCCAACAGGAACTTTTATTAAGAGTAGTTGATAGCAGGCATGAATAGTAAAATAATAATTATAATAATAGTAAAGTTGGAAGGGACCTTGAAGGTCATCTAGTCCAACCCCCTGCTCAGGCAGGAAACCCTATACCATTTTGGACAAATGGCTGTCCAGTCTCTTCTTAAAAACTTCCAGTGTTGGAGCATTCACCGCTTCTGGAGGCAGGTTGTTCCACTGGTTAATTGTTCTCACTGTCAGGAAGTTTCTCCTTAGTTCTAGATTGCTTCTCTCCTTGATTAGTTTCCACCCATTGCTTCTCGTCCTGCCTTCAGGCGCTTTGGAAAATAGCTTGACTCCCTCTTCTTTTTGGCAGCCTCTGAGATATTGGAACACTGCTATCATGTCTCCCCTCGTCCTTCTCTTCATTAAACTAGACATACCCAATTCCAGCAGCCTTTCCTTATATGCTTTGGCCTCCAGTCCCCTAATCATCTTTGTTGCTCTTCTCTGTATTCTTTCTAGAGTCTCAACATCTTTTTTACATCACGGTGACCAAAACTGGATGCAGTATTCCAAGTGTGGCCTTACTAAGGCATTGTAAAGTGGTATTAACACTTCAGGTGATCTTGATTCTATCCCTCTGTTAATGCAGCCTAGCACTGTGTTGGCCTTTTTGGCAGCTGCAGCACACTGCTGGCTCATATTTAGGTGATTGTCCACTAGGACTCCGAGGTCCCTCTCACAGTTACTACTATAGAGCAAGGTGCCACCTATGCTGTACTTGTGCATTTTGTTTTTCTTGCCTAAATGTAGAACCTTGCTTTTTCACCATTGAATTTCATTTTGTTAGATAGTGCCCAGTGTTCAAGTCTGTCCAGATCCTTCTGTATCTTAAGCCTGTCTTCTGGAGTGTTGGCTATTCCTGCCAGCTTGGTGTCATCTGCAAATTTGATGAGTTCCCCATCTATCCCCTCGTCCAAATAGTTGATGAAGATGTTGAAGAGCACTGGGCACAGAACAGAGCCTTGGGGCACCCCACTACACACTTCCCTCCATGTAGATGCGGTTCCATTGAGGACCACTAGCTGAGTACGGCCGGTCAGCCAGCTACGGATCTGGTGGTGATGCTGTCTACCCCACATTTTTCTATCTTGTCAAGTAGTAGGTTGTGATGTACTTTATCAAATGCCTTACTGAAGTCCAAGTAAATTATGTCCACAGCATTCCTCTCATCCACTAATTTTGTCACTTGGTCAAAGAATGCAATAAGATTTATCTGTCATCTATTTTTGACAAACCCATGTTGGCTTTTAGTAATGACTTTGTTTGCCTCTAGGTGTTCGTTGAGTCGTCCATTTTGTTCCTTTTTTGAGGATGGGAACTACATCAGCTCTTTTCCAGTCCTCTGGTAGTTCCCCTATGCTCCAGGATCTTTGAAAAATATAGTTCAGTGGTTCAGAGATCACATTTGCTAGTTCCTTGAGAACCTTGGGGTGTAATCCATCTGGTCCTGGCAATTTGAACTCGTCTAGGCTGGACAGGTGCTCACTTACTATTTTCTTGCCTATCTTAACTTGTGTTTCTATTCTGTTTTTTATGGCACTATTTTTGATAGGTTG